ACCCGTGTTTTTTTTTTTTTTTTTTTTTTTTTTTTTTTTTTTTTTTGTGCAGGGGAGTGTAGTTGTCACTGTCTCTCACTGGTCATAAATCACAATTCACATTCTTGTCACTTCAGTTGCCAAGCTCAATACAGCAAAATATTAGAGAAGTTCAAATCAGTTTCCTGCTAAATGTGACATCGTCAAATTTAAATGTGAATGAAATATGAAATACCTGCACTTAAGAAAATATCTCATAACACTGTTGCACTCAATATACAACTTGTTCCACACACGACTCCATCTGTCCATCTAGCATGTTCTGTATGATTTCTGCTATCTCAGTGCTCCAGTCTTTAACTCGTGTCCACTACTATGTCCTTCCCCTCCTCTTTCCTGTGGTTTCTGTCACTTGTTCAGCTGAATGGCCATTACATCAGCGTGACCTAAATGTGTCACATCCCTCTCTTATCCCACTCTCTCTCCGTCTCCCCACCACTCTACTTTCGTCTTCAAGATATCCCAAAACTTCTTGTCTGATTTACTCGCATCGCCCCCAGAGTTTAACCCCTTTCAGCTCTCCACTTCTGTTTCATCTCTATCTCTCCTCCTCTTTGACCTCATTCCCACCATTGCTCCGACAGACAGAAAAATTAACTTGATGAAAAAACATTCTCTCTCTTTTAGTTTCTCCTCTGTCAGCCAACAGACAATAAAAAAAAAAATATAATGAATAATAATACTGAAAAGACATGAACTTCTTGTCTGATTTACTCGCATCGCCCCCAGAGTTTAACCCCTTTCAGCTCTCCACTTCTGTTTCATCTCTATCTCTCCTCCTCTTTGACCTCATTCCCACCATTGCTCCGACAGACAGAAAAATTAACTTGATGAAAAAACATTCTCTCTCTTTTAGTTTCTCCTGTCAGCCAACAGACAATAAAAAAATATATAATAAATAATAATACTGAAAAGACATGTCAACAAAATACCCACAGAGATGCATAATAATGCAAAGAGACAAGAAAAATAAAGACATGCACACAGGTACTGGTTGCCACAATGTAGTTAACAACTGAATCACAACCTGACCACAAATGTTTATTGTTTATATATAAAGCTAATTATAAATACCACAGACCAACTCCCTTGAGACATTAATTTTTAATATATTTGAAAGACAGTTGCAGTAATTTGTTTATATTATAAATCTACATATCGTTCAAAAATTTGGGGTTGTAACATTTTAGAAGTCCCCTATGCTCGTCAAGGCTGTGTTTATTTGATCAAAAATGCAGTATTTTTTTAGAGTAACATTGTAAAATATTATTACAAATTAAAATGTTTCTATTTGAATATATTTTAAAATGTAATGTAAAGCTTAATTTTGAGCTGCCATTACTCCAGTCTTCAGTGTCACATGATCCTTCAGATCATTCTAATATGCTGATTTGGATTCAAGAAACATTTCTTATGAATAGTAATGTTGAAAACAGTTGTGCTGGTTAATATTTTTGGACATAGCGATACGATTAAATTTCTTGATAAAAAAAAAAGTTTAAAATCATTTAGAAAAAGCATTTATCAAGAAAATGTATATATCAGTATAAAAGTTTTTACTCTCACTTTTGATCAATTATTGTTTAGTCAAGTATTGAATTTTTACTTCCCTAACATAACCGTAACAGAAAACATTTTTAGATTCCCTATTAATAAATATTATTTGACTAATATTTTTCCAAATGAGGACAGTCGTTAGCTAACTCGTGGAGACAAATTTGTAACTTGCAATCACAAAACAGTGCATGCAATATTGTGTCTTTAATTAGATCTGTGTTTACGGGCGCCTTCTCGCTTGCCTGAATACACTGTGTGTCATTTTCTGTCCATCAAATTTCATTTATAATTACCATGACAGGAAGCCTGCAGAGTTCTGATTCAAAGATAACTGACACAACAATGACGCACGCACAATGAAATGATAAGGTGAGTGAAAGTGGGTTGCTGGTTAGAAGTATTTGTCAAATGTTAGAGGATCATGTAAATGTGATGAGCTCAGGACCAGCCAGTGGGTTTGTGGGGTCCCAGGTAAGATAGTGTAAATGGGCTCCACCAATAATGACATAATATTAAAGCTAAACCAACTGCACTGAAATAAAATCAATACAAATAAGCACACTGACTGTACGTAAGTTATTGACAAATAACATTTAAAACATTTTTAAACATTAAGCTAAACTAGGTGAATGTATAATGAACAGTGTAAATTGTTAGGTGCTTTGTCTAGTCGCTTTTGATTGTTATCTTTCAGCTTTTATCAAATCACCTAAATAGTAATGTGATAGAACAAATAAATTATTGCCAGTACAAATATATGTACAAATAATCATGTAGAGATTAACATAAAGGCATAAAAAGCACTTGTATATGAATTTTATAGAATTCATGGTTAAATTTGGTTACATTTGAAAATAATTTTTGTAGTCATTTGTTGGGTAAAAGCTTATAATGCTTAAAGACTCTTCCTAGAGTCTCTTACTAGTATTGTAAGAAAATTAATAAAGACTTTGCTTCGATCGTGAACACTTTTTTTTGTTTTGTTTTTGATTCAGTATCCTTCAGTATTTTTAAAATTCAGATTCAGAAATGACTCACTCATAAAAAAATTAATAGATTTGTCACCACCTACTGTCACAGATCGGCCAGGCTCAGCCACCTCACAATCACAGCAAACACCATCACCTGAGTTCTGATCACACGCACCTGTCACGGATTAACAATCACCCTCAGCTCCCATTCATAAGCACACACCTCACACCACTCCAGTGTCCGATCTCGTTCCAACGAAGTGGACTCTCTCTCTCTGATATCCGTAAGATTCATTGAAAGACTTACCTACCAGTTGTACTTACCTCCAGTGTTTCCTCCAGTATTCGTTCCAGTCCCTTGCTCCGTGGATACCCCGTCACTCATTGTCTGAGGTGTGTGCTATCCTCTGTCTCCCTTCCACGATCTCCTGGGAATCCCCATACTAGGACTTCCGAACTAGCTTTATACTCACCTGCCCGTACCCTCTGCTTCACTTGCTGAAAATAAATATCATTGTATCTCTCTAACCCTCTGTGTGAGTCTCCTTCCATAACAGAAGATTGGACCTAAAAGGAGTCACCAATATGAGTGCTCCCGACCCGTTCCAGGAGATCGTGGATGCCCTCAAAAGGATACTCACCCCTGCCATTGTCACACAACTGGTTCCACCCGTCACCACCACCGCTCCCTCTTCCACGACAATACTTAACAGTCCCATGGCCCGACCAGTGCCCTTCTCTGGCTTGGCGGAGGAGTGCAACAGATTTCTGCTGCAGTGTTCGCTCGCACTGACGCAGCAGCCTCAGCTATACGCAACGGAAAGCGCCAAGATAGCATTCGTCATATCCTTGCTGATGGGGTGGGCACTTCAATGGGCAGAGAACATCTGGTCCCAAGCTGGTACAGTGACTGAATCCCTTGATAATTTCATTGCACATTTCTGAGAGGTCTTTGGTAAAGCCGTGGGCGATACCTCTGTTTGTGATCAATTATATCATCTCCGTCAAGGATCTCTGTCTTTAACTGATTACGCCCTCAGGTTCAGAACCCTCGCAGCAGCCAGCGGCTGGAATGAGCGTGCACTTATGACCACCTACCGGCTGGGACTTGAGCCGAGAGTGCAACTTCAGCTCGCAGCATACGAGGATTCCTATGGCTTGGAACGGTTTATCCAGCTATCCATCCACTGCGCTAATCGCATGCAATCTTGCATTACGGAACCTCACCTCTCACCATGCACTCCCCTCCTCCATCAGCCAGACACCATCAGCCCCCCAGAACCAGGTCAGGAACCCATGCTAGTGGATGGCACTCGACTCTCCCCTTGGGAGCGGCAGAGACGGCTGAGCCAGAGCTTGTGTTTGTACTGTGGAGCTGGAGGGCATGTGATCGCGGCATGCCCTATTCGCCCGCCACGGCCTATGGTGAGTGTTATTAAACCATCAATAGTTAATATGCAGCCCCTCACCTCTGTTGTAAAACTTACTGCCGCCGGTATCTCCCTTCCAGTACATGCCCTCCTCGACTCTGGGTCAGCCGGGAACTTGCCGCCAACTCAATCTCCCGACCACGACCACCCAGACCACTTATCAGGTCCAGTCGGTGACTGGAAAACAACTCAGCCGGAAACATGTGCGCCACCGTGTAGGTCCTCTTCACTTACAAGTTGGACAATTGCATGAGGAAGCACTTCATCTCCTGGTTCTGGAGGATTCCACCGCTGATGTGATCCTAGGGTGCCCTTGGTTGGTGCAACATGATCCTACCATCTCCTGGAGAACTGGTGAGGTCCTGAAGTGGGGGAGAACCTGTTTTCCTGACTGTTTCCCTCACCTTCCTCAGCCATCACCTCCGCACTCCAAAGCCCTCACACTCTGCTCCACGTCTATCGAAATCCCGATATAGAAACAGTCAGTAGATGTCCCAGCCTGTTATGCCCCCTTCAGTGACGTATTCTGCCCGAAGAAAGCCTCCCAGTTACCTCCGCACCTGCCATGGGACTGTGCCATAGATCTGATTCCGGGTGAGCCAGTGCTCCATGGAAGGATTTATCCCTTGTCACTCCCTGAACAGGCCATGGAGGAGTATATCGAGGAAGCTTTACATCAAGGCTATATCCGCCCTTCCACGTCCCCTGCTGCTTCCAGCTTCTTCTTCGTGGCCAAGAAGGACGGGGGTTTGAGGCCTTGCATTGATTACCGGGTTCTAAACAAGAGTACCATCAAGTTCCGCTATCCACTTCCTCTCGTCCCAGCAGCATTGGAACATCTCCGTGGAGCCACCGTCATCACCAAGTTAGACCTCCGCAATGCGTACAACCTCATCCGGATACGTGAGGGGGACGAGTGGAAGACTGCCTTCGTGACCCCTACTGGGCACTACGAGTATCTTGTCATGCCGTATGGACTAGTAAATGCCCCCTCCGTATTCCAGGACTTCATGCATGAGGTGCTCCGGGAGTATCTACACTGGTTCGTCCTCATCTATATTGATGACATCCTAATCTACTCCCGGAGCTTGGCCAAACATCGCCACCACGTTGCGGAGGTCCTGAAAAAAGTGAATTCAATCTGTTCCTTAAAGCTGAGAAATGTTCATTCCATCAGTCCTCAATGCAGTTCCTTGGATATGTCATCAACGACGGGGGTATCCAGATGGACGAGAGAAAGGTTGATGCCATCCAAAACTGGCCAGTTCCCACCACCGTCAAAGAACTGCAAAGGTTCCTGGGTTTCGCAAACTTTTATCGGAGATTCATCTACCATTACAGTTCCATAACCAGTCCGCTCACCAGTATGCTGTGAGATAAGCCCAAATCCCTGTCCTGGTCACCAACTGCCACGGAGGCCTTTGAAACACTAAAGAACTCCTTGACCTCGGCACCGCTCCTCGTCCACCCAGACCCCAACAAACCATTCTTGGTAGAGTCGGACGCTTCCCCTACGGGGGTAGGAGCGGTGCTTTCGCAGCAGCAGGGGACTCCACCCAAACTCCATCCATGTGCCGCCTTCTCCCGCAAACTCAGCCCGGCGGAGAGAAACTACGACATCGGCAAC